TCACAACCTCGAACCGGTCAATTGTGGTTATGTGTGGATGATTGTTGTGTAGTCTATCCACTATCATGATCTTTGTCTTTGATATGTTTAATTGCAGGCCAAATATTTGACTTTCGTTTTCGATCAGTCGTATAAGTTCCATCAGCTCTGCTTGACTATTTGCAAGAAGGGCTGTGTCATCTGCGAAGCTTATTTAGTTTATGACCATTTATTGAGATGCCCTTTTCCCATCCTTCAAGTGCTCTTCGCATAGTATATCTCCATATATGTTGAATAATTGTGGAGATAGTATACATCCTTTTCTGACACCCCGTTCTTGATGAAACTCGTTCGAAAGTGTGTCAAGTACTTTAACTGATCCAGTAGTGTGTTCATATAGTTCAGTTTTAAGTGTAATTAGATGTTGTGGTACGCCTACTTCTTTTAGTATTTGCAATAAGTGTCTCTACTTGACCCTGTCGAACGCTTTACGGTAATCTATAAAACAAATGTATAGTGGGATGTTGAATTCCCTAGATTTCTCGATTACCTGTCTTATATTCAGCAGGTGTTCTCGAGTGCCTCTACCTTTGGTAAATCCAGTTTGCTCTTGTGGAATTTCTCTTTGAAGGAATGTTTTCAGTCTTTTATTGATTATATGTAGCATTATCTTGCTGGCATGGGATATAAGAGAGATAGTTCTATAATTGTCGCATTTATGGAAGCTACCACGACACTAATAGTGTTTTATTTCTGAAATGGCAGGTTCTTCCAAAAGAGTGTATTTCGAAGAGCCTAATTTTGATGATAGTGTAAGGCGGTGGTATGATGAATTAGAAAGCGAGTTTAGTGATTATGAGGACTACAACGACAAAGATTTTCCCCAAAAAGTGATCATAACTCTGATTCTGAAATGGTAGATCAAGGGGACAATGCTGAAACACAAGAAAGTTAGTCTATAGGTGAAGAAAAAGACGGGTCAGAAACAACAATTGGAAAGTTTTAGTTAAATTTTATAACGTAGTGGGAATATAATTTGTTGCCTGTTTTTGTAATTTATAAAAGAAGGCAAAAATTATTATAAGCTTCATTTTATGGTCTGCAAATTCTCTTGAGGTAAATACTTTCATTGTAATCTTTATTCTATAATACTGACAGCATTTTAAATATTTATTACCGTACTTCTTTCGAAACCACGTTTCTAGATTATGATTTTTTCTTAATTATATGCATGTAGAACTTGTTAACAGAATTTAACTAAGTAATAATAATTATATTTTATTTTATCCTTCTTCTTCTTTAAGTTCCATCTTCTATCGAAGGTTGGATTCAAACCATTCCCATACGTTCTTAAGCCAGGATATTCTTCGTCTTCCCACATTTCGCTTTCCTCGGATTTTGTTCTGCATAATAAGTTAAAATAATGCGTATTTTTGCCCTCTCATCACATGTCCCAAGTACTCAAGTTTTCGTCTTTTAATAGTTAATATTATTTTCGCCTCATTTCCTATCCTTCTAATTACTTCCATGTTTGACATTCTTTGAATCCATGATATTCGTAGGATTCTTCTGTAACACCAAAATTCAAAGGCGGCCAACTTATTCAGATAAACTTATTGTAGTGTCCAAGCTTCCAAACCATAAAGAAGAGTAGAGAACACGTAACATCGAAGCATTCTCAGGCGTAGTTCTAATCTTATATCCCGACAACAAAGAAACATTTTAAGTTTAATAAATGATGTACGTGCTATTTCAATACGTGTCTTAATTTCTTTGGTATGGTTTACATCTGATGTTATCCATGTTCCCAAGTATTTATAGTTATTAACACTCTCAATTACAGTATCTTCAATAGTCAATTGGATATTTGCATGTGCAGATTTAGTCATGATCATGCATTTAGTTTTCTTTAAATTTATGTTCAGTCCGTACTCATGACAGCGTTCACTAAGGCGTTGCATTACGTTCTGTAAATCCTTGTTGTTATCCGTAATTATTACTGTATCGTCTGCAAAACGTCAGTTATTCAAAACTTCTGCATTGATAGATATACCTTCTATTGAGTCTGAGAGCGCTTCTTGAAATATCGCTTCACTGTAGACATTGAAAAGTAGTGGGGACAGCACGCAACCCTGGCGGACTCCTCTCTGTATTTTGATATTTTCGGTGTACTGGTTGTCAACTCTTACCTTGGCAGTTTGATTCCAATATAAATTAGCTATAATTTTCAGATCACGACTGTCAATATTTTTGCTTTTTAATATAACTACAAGCTTTTTATGTTGAACTTTATCAAATGCCTTTTCAAAGTCTACAAAACATAAGTACATATATCCTGATTCATGTCCATGCATCTCTGAGCCAGCACATTCAAGCCGAACAAAGCATCTCTTGTACTCATACCATTTCTAAAGCCAAATTATTTGTCACTAATCTCACATTCAAGAGTTTTAACAATTCTGCTGTGAATTATTTTCAAAAATGTTTTAAGTGTGTGACCCATTAAAGCTATTGTTCTGTGGTCTGAGGAAGTTGTTAAACTTGGTTTTTTGGGAATTGCTACAAAGGTTGATTGCAGCCATTGTCTGGGGATTGTGGCAGTCTGATATATTAGATTAAAGAGTTCAACCATTACGTCAATAACATCTTCATCGATGAGTTTTAATAATTCGATGGGCACCTCATCTGGTCCAGTAGCTTTACCCTCTTTCGTGTTTTTGATGGCATAGATGACTTCTTCTCTTAATATTGGTGATCCGGTATCCCCGGTGATTTCTAATGATAGTAACTCTTTCATCATTAAATAGTTGTTGAATGTAATTGGTCCAGTGACATAATCTCTCCTTCATATCAGTAATAATATCCCCTTTATCATGTTTAAGGATATTCGTTTTTGTACGCTTTCTAGAACCTGAAATTTCTTTGATTTTTTTGTGTAAATTAAAGCTATCGTACTTTTTATCCAGATCTTCTATTTCCTTGCATCTGTCGGAGAGCCACCTCTCTTTGGCCTCTCGAATTTTCTTTCTGATGTTTCTCTGAATTTCTTTGAATTTATTCAGGTCTTTTGCTTTATGTTTTCTTCGTTCTTTTATGAGTTCAAGAATTTCTACTGTCATCCAAGGTTTTGTTTTTTCTTTAAGTGGTTTGAGGGTTTCTTTTCAAACTGACACAAGGGCATGTTGAATTTTTCCCCATTTTTGGTCAATAGTTTCTGCATTATCTTCTTTGACTTTTTTAAGCTCTCGTTTATTTTAAATTTGGTTTCCACATATGTGTTGTCTTGTTCGAGACGTCTTGTATCTATGATTTTCTTGGTTCTAGGGCTGTTGACCTTCTTTAGTTTCACTCTCATCGACAAAACAACTGGGTTGTGGTCGGAGGATATGTCCGCTCCTGGATAAGTTTTAGATTATATTATAGAATTTCTATATCTTCTGTTGACGATAAATCTATTTGATTTCTGACTATTTTGTTGTTATTGTCAGCTGGTGATCTCCATGTATATAGTCTACGTTTAGGAAGTTTGAACAAGGTATTTGTAATTATGAGTTCCTCATTGACACAGAAATCGACACGTTCATTCCTTTCCCCGAGTCCATATCGCCCCACGCAATTCTCCACTTCTCCTAGGCCAACTTTAGCGTTCAAATCGCCCATTATAATATTTATATCTTGTCTTTTAGTTAGTCTTAAGACATTGTCGATTTGTTCATAGAAGGCCTTTATGGTGTCTTCATCCTTGTCTGCAGTGGGTGCATATACTCGGATTATATTTATTTTACGTTTTAAGTGAGAGTTTAGAGACAGCATTAGTACTCGATCAGAGTAGGGAACAAAGTTACAGACAGCTTTCTGAGAATTCTTATCAACTATAATGCCAACTCCCCGTTTGTGCTTGGAATCGTTGTTTCCAGAATAATACATCGTTCCATTTCTGGTCTTACATTTTCCTGATTCAGGCCATTGTATATCGCTAAGGCCCAGTATATTAATTTTCATTCTGCACCCAGTATATTAGTTTTCATTTTATCCTTGCCATACGCTATATGTTTAATTGTAATTTTGTAAAATGACAAGGAAGGTAAACCCTTCTTGATGTATCACCAATACAAGCTGTTTCTTATATTTTAGTTTATTGACTGCATTCAAAATCATGAAAATTGATTGACCATTTTTGAAGATTTTATTGACCATATCCATTTATTGACCATATTCATTTATTAACTATATCGAAGAATATACTGAAGAGTTTATTGGCCATTTTGAAAAACGTATTAACCATTTGAGGACTTAACCACAACTAGGACTTACATCCACATGATACTGCAGCTCTTCAGAGGACATAACATTTAATTGGGAGGACACACAAGCATCCCATCGAAGCCATAAGTATCGTCCTTACAAGTTTATTGTTAAGCTTTGGCAGCTTTCTAAGCTTAGAGTATCTAAGAGCTCAGGTTCAATCCCTAGTTATATAAGCTCCCATGCTTGATTGAGGTATAATTTTTACAATAATACTTCAATTCTCTTTGGTAGTGTTATCGTTACAGTGCAAACACAGAGGATATTCAACTCGAGAAAAAAATTAAACCTTTCCAGTAGGTGTAAAATCTTTTGAGTTTATTTTTGAAAGGCCTGCGCGTCTTAAGTTTTAAGATTAATTTTATGTTTAAGCCATTAAAAAAAATGAAGAATACCATTTTGAGGAATTCAAGAAACATTAGTTTTAAGATTATTAATACAGAAAATTTGACAATTAGTCCCAATATTTAAGGCACCGCTTGGTGCTTTTTAAATAAAAAAAATAAAATAAAACCAAATTATATCCACCCTGTGCGTAGTGGAGTAAAGCACAGAATTTCATCTTTAAGTACGTAATAATTAAACAAATTATCCACCAAAGCTATGAAATAATTGAAAGAATATTTAACAATGGGATCGACTAATTATTTGTTATTCGTTTGTTAGCATAATCGTTAGTGATAATAATAAGCAATATTTTAGGAACAAGTACTCACCTGAAACGTGCCGGGAATACATCCACGATTTTTAGCTGAACAAGATCGTGTTCCGTTTGTCCGAATAATACAATCGCAAATTCCTTCTATACATTTTGAAGATGAATCAGCCATTCTGCATTGCATATCAGTCACGCAGGGTAAACCCAAACTTACAGCTTCGTCGCCCGTTTCGACTCTAGTTCTTATGCCTGTAGTTGTTGGAGGTAAAGCTAGTAAAAAGGAAATTTGTTAAAATTAATTTTTAGCCAAGTATTAATTTTTATGAGAAGGTATAAATATTTGTTGCTACAAACCATAATGCAAGCAAAAATACAGAAAAAACGAAATATTGGAAGATGACGCATCTCCTGGCTCAACAATCTGAGAAAGCAGTTTCGTCGACTTTTAAAGCTGCAATCTCAAAAGTGAACATAACTGTAATAATTACCAACCTCCTTAGAGGAGGCGGTACCTAAAGAAGAAAATTAAATTTTTAAATAGTATTTCAACTCAGAGTCACATTTAACTCAGAGTCACTCATGAAGAGTTGAGAACCGGACCAGGCCGGATAAACTTAATTATAAATTTAAGGCTCCTCAATGTCAAAATGGATCTAGTGAATTTTATATATTTTACAATAGATGGCAGCATACAAATAGATAGTCCACATTGATTTAAAAGCAATAAGAGAACTGGACCGTATGGAATATTCATCGTGAGTTAAATTGCAATAAGTGTATGGATACTTTGTTTGGTTTGCAGAATGAATTTGTTTTCTCACAAGTAAAAAACGGTAGCAGGTAGCACTTCTCTACGATCTCAGTAGAGAAGAAGCTGCTACTGCCGTACGCTAGCTACTAAGTTTCTATCATATTCAAGCCTTTAGTAAAGGCCAGGTCCTCAACCTATCGCTTCCCACATTTTCCAATCCATTCAACATCCCGTTATATCCCGCTACCACCTTAATCGCCGGGGACCCAACGGTCCTGGCGATTAAGGTGGTAGCGGGGTCGGGGTCCCTGGCGACGGTCGCCACCAGATCAGACCAGGAGCAGAGGGTGTAAAGAATCACCGGGACAGACACAGCAACTATGGATAACGAACATTGCATATTGCCGCCTATAACGTAAGAACGCTTGCAATGCAAGAGAAGGTCATTGATTCCAGGAGGAACTTAATTCCGTAAAATGGGATGTATTGAGGCTTTCTAAAATACGAAAAAAATGAGAAAACCAAACCAATTGGTTTTAAAATCAGGGCATCTGCTGAATTTAAAGAAAACAAATTAAGTGAAAAGTGTACAAGAAATACCAAAATAAAATTATAAATAGAGTGTACCTTATATTAAACCTGAACGAGAGACGCTCTATTAAAATTATTAAGTGTATATGCACCCAGGATGAGCTATGGCGATGAAAAAATCCAATCCATTTATGAAGATATATATATATATATATATACATATATATATATATATATATATATATATATATATATATATATATATATATATATATATATATAGTGTGTAATTGGATTTAAATGGACAGCATCTGTTAAACTCCATGACTTTACCGATAAATATAGAATTGAGCGAGGAGTTAGACAGGGCGACACCATCTCCCCCCAACTATTCACTGCAGTTCTGGAATATGCCTTTAAAAAAATAGATTGGGCTAAAAGGGGAATAAATATTGATGGTGAATACTTAAGAAACTTGCGCTTTGCAGATGATATTGTCATTATAGCCGAGAGTTTAAATGAAGCTCACAAAATGATGGAAGAACTAAAACAGGCAATAGAACAAATAGGCCTGAACTTAAACTTTGAAAAAACAAAATACATGACCAATTTAGCTCCAAGTGATGTTATGAGGGTAGATGGGAACGAAGTACATCAGGTCTTTAGCTATATCTATTTAGGGCATGAAATTAGAAGAGGAAAAGACAATCAAACTTATGAGATCCAGCTTCGCATAGGCTTGGGATGGGCAGCATTTGGCAAGATGCGAGATATTTTAAAAGGAACGCTGCCGATTTGCTTAAAGAAAAAGGTTTACAACCAATGCATACTGCCAGTAATAACATATGGTTCCGAAACAATAACTTTAACCAAACATTCTGCAAATAAATTGAGAGTAACCCAAAGAAAAATGGAAAGAGCAATGTTGGGAATAACTAGAAGAGATATGGTACCAAATAGGATAGTGAGAGAGAGGACTAAAGTGACAGATGTCATAGAAAAAATTGCACAAGCCAAATGGAGATGGGATGGACCTATAGCACGTTTAAATTATAATAGGTGGACCAAAAGACTCATAGAATGGAGATTTAGAGAAGGCAAAAGACACCGAGGCACACCACCAAAAAGATGGATGGACGACTTGAGAAAAACAGTCGGAAATTGGATACAGACGCAAGATAGAGAACAGTGGAAGAACATGGAGGAGACCTATATCCAACAGTGGATGCAAGAGGTTGAGGAATGATGATGATAATGATGATGATGATGATGATGATGATGATGATGATGATGATGATGATGATGATGATGATGATGATGATGATGATGATGATGATAAATTGGATTTAAAGAAGATAACGCAGAAGTTGTTATGGAGTTATTTGGATACAGTGAGAGAAACGATATAGGAGATATGCTTGTAAATTTTTTAATGCATCATCGGCTCTATGTCATAAACACATGTTTCAAAAACAACCAACAATGTAAGTGGACGTGGAATAGTCGATGGCATAACGCAAAACAAAATTGATTATATAATCACAAATAGAAAAGATATTGCCCAAGATGTTACAGTAATTAATAAAATCACTGTTGGAAGTCACCGGTTTGTTAGAGCAAAAATATTGATCAACATTAGAAGAAAGAAAAGACCAATGATAACAGAGAGGCGTTGTAATACATTGAAATCGACAGAAGATAGAGTAGCTTATCACAATCTCATAATTGAAAGCTTTCTCAATATTAATGCGAAAAGATATCAGAAATTATAATGCTGAACACGTAGTTTGACATTTTCAAGTCTAATATTCCAGTTTTTTTAAAAAGAATGGTTTTGAACCAATCTGTTTTAACGATCCTTACATATGGTGTAGAAATTACCATTAGAGATAAAGTACCAAATCTAGAAATAAGAAGAAGAACATAAGTCACAGATGCGGTTAAAAAAATAGCCATGGCGAAAAGATATCCTGCTCAAGGTTTTGGATAAAATAAGTCAAGTTAAAGAACAAAAGATTTAAATAATGATATCATAATCTGATTTCTAGACTATCAAAATGGCTCGACAAAGCAAATCTCAACAAACTGACCTATATTCTTGGAAAAACAGATAATAAAAATATTGTGACAATCGTAAACTTCCATGTATAAGCACAAAAAGATATTGTTAAGATTACTAATGTTCAGTCAGATAGATTAATAATAAGCTTTACATAAGTTTAATATGCAGAGAGTAGATCGATAGTGATGGATTTTGTCGTATTTGTTGTTTAATATTTATTCGGAACATCCATTTAGAGAAGCGATTTTAAAAACCGAAAATGGATCTCTGATCAATGGAATATTTATAACTATTGTCCGATGCGCTGATGATATTGACCTATTTACCGAGAGGGCAGAAGGTCGTTCTGTACTGTACGTTTAACTAATGGTATTGAATTGACTAGCAAAAATTTTAGAATAAATTTTAATCTCAAAAAAATAAAAATAATGATATTCTGTAATTAATAATAATGTTCTGTAAACTGTCCAATAAAAGAATTTATATTGTTTGTAATAGAACTTGGATGATAATTGGGTATTAAGATTTTAAACAAGAAGTATATTTTACACCATAAAAACGCTTCATTAAGATCCATATTAGAATTAAAGTACTTCTCTCTCTCTAATGTCATCGCTCCTTGTAGAATATTATGCGCTTATGCATTTCTTGGCCAAAAGTGTAAAATTGCTGACTGGCCGGGTAGGCGCATCTTCTTTTTTAGTTATTCTCTGGATAAACTGTGTACTAGTTTCTTCCATTTTCTTCTATTTCTTGCTCTGTTTTTAATTTCCTTCCATCTTAGTCCAATTTTTTTGTGTTCTTCCGTTGTAATTCTTTTCCAGCTGTTATCTGGTTTGCACTCTTTCTTTTACTCTCTGGTTGGTATTCCTTTTTCACAGTATGGTCAATTCCATTTTTATTTGACTCTAGTAGATATATAGACTAAATAAATCAAAGCTATACCAATCAACAGAAGAGTTTGCCAGGGAGATGTTATCTCACCAAAGCTATTCACACTTGGACTGAAAGACGTGTATAAAGACATTAACTGGACAGATAAAGGAATAAATGTTAATAAAAAAAACTAAGTCATTTAAGATACGCTGATAACATTGTAATAATCGCTACAAGTTTCGAAGAACTACAGACCATAATAACGCAACTATTTCAAGCTTCGGAAAAAGTAGGTTTTAAGATAAACTTGGAAAAAACAAAAATAATGACCAATACACCGAACATTAGAAAAATAACGTTAAACGACATAAATTTAGAAAGAGTAGGCAAATACGTCTACCTGTGACAGATAATGAAAGTTAACAAAGAAAATCAAACTGCTGAAATAACCAGAAGAATAAGGTTAGCGTGAGCAGTATTTGGAAAACTGAGTTGGATCTTGAAAAGCACTAAAATAGACCAATATTTAAAAACCAGAATTTACGATCAGTATATTCTCCCTATACTCACGTATGATTCATAGACGTGGACACTTACCAAGTCTAGTATGGGTAAAATAGTAAAAGCATAAAGAGCGATGGAAAGATCAATGCTCGGGGTAAGACTTATAGACAAAAAAACAAACAAATGGATTAGAAGCAAAACGAAAGTAAAAGACGCAGGAGAACATGCTGCCAAATTAAAATAGAGCTTCGCAGGACACAATGGCCGACTGAAGGATAAGAGATGAAACCACGAAATATAACAATGGAGACCATGGTTAGGAAAGAGAAGCCGAGGAAGACCACAAATGAGATGGGCGAATGATATTAAGAAGATTGAAGGACACAACTGGAAGCAAGTGGCGCAATATAGAAGACACTGGATTGATTTGGGGAAGGCATATCCAAAGTTGGATTACTTAAGGCTGAAGAAGAAGAAAAAGAAAGTAGATATGTTAGTTTACTTTGTCCTTTCCCCTAGTTTTGTATTAGCTATTAATGTATTGGTCCAGTATATTTTCAGAATATTTCGTTTGTTTGCCAAATATGTGAACTTGTCTACCTCTTCTACTTCTTTACCATTTATCATTATTTTATTATTTGGGTGGTTATTATTTTTTAAGAGTTTGGTTTTCTCTATGTTTATTCAAAGACCAATCGTGTTGGAGTACTGAGCCAACTTTCCAATTTTTGTTTGCATATGACTTCGTTGTTCAGTTAGTAGGCAGATGTCATCTGCAAATCCAAGACCTTCTAGCTGTTTGGATAGGTTCGGCCTTAAGCCTGTTCGATCGTCAGTTACTTTTTATATTACTTAATCTATCATAATAAGGAAATAGATAGGGGATAGTACACAATATTGTTTGACTCCACTTTCTATGGCCATTTCTTCTGTTACTGGACTTGAGTGTTTCTTTTTGGCTTTGTATCCTTCATAGATGGGTTTAATAAATTTATAATTTTCAGTGGTATCCCATATCATCTTAGGATTTTCCACAACTTTATCCTGGTCGAAGTCCTTTTTAATGTCGATAAAACTTACATTAGTATCTTTATTTAATTAATTTGTTTGTTCCGAGATAATCCTAAGGGTGAAAATGTGGTCAATGATGAAGCGTTTGGCATGGAAATCCGCTTGGGAACTTCTCAGTTTTTTATGTAGTTCCGGCTTTAATCTTTCCAATATGATTTTGGTCAGAATTTTGGATGTGCCACTTAATAGTGTTATTACATGTCAATTATTGCATCTACCCAGGTCTCCTTTTTTGGGATTTTTTATTATCAATCCCTCTTTCCATTCTTTTGGTAATTCTTAGTCAGTTCATATTTTTCAAAAGTTTTTGTAACTTTTCTATTGATTGCTGAGTATCTACTTTTACTAGTTCTATGGGTATATTGTTGATTCCTGCGGCGTTTCTTTTCGTTAAAATTTTAGTTATTTCCCATTTTTTTCCATGCAATTTTTTCAATATCTACTTCTGGCTCTGTTGACTCTTCTTTATCTTCTATAACTTGTGTTAATTCATGTTTAGCATATGTTTCCTCGAAGTATTTCTTCCATCTTTGTATTATTTCGTTCTCATTTTTACTCTGTTTCCTTGTTTAGCTTTAACTTCTTGTATATTTATTTGTGCTTTTCCTGTTGGGTTTCGTATGAAAGTATATTGTATTCGTAGGTCGTTTTCTTACGCTACTTTTAAAATCAATGATCAATTAAACTTCTTCTTTATATAGTTTCTTTTATCCTTTTGGCTTGTTTTTCTACTTCTGCGTTTTTTGCCTTGTATTTCCTGTCAAGTGACTTCTCATCTTACGATCCTTCTTTTTGTAGGATTTCTTTTATGGTTTTTCCCGTTCTTCTATCAGTAGTAGGGTATCTCTAGTTATCCATTTCGCTCTGACTAGCATGTGGTCTAACCCCACACCAGCACCTCTTAATCTTCTGATATCTTGCAAGCAGCTTCTCCATTTATATTCAATTATTATGCGGTTTATTTGTTTTTTGTACCTCTCTTTTTTTCATGTTTATCATCTACGTTTGCGTTCCCAAAATTATATTGTTAGTTTTTGGTCTCCTACTCGAGTTGATCCACTGCCATTCCATCGTAATTCACCTGGGGTCCAACAATATCTAACTTGTACTTATTAATCTCTTGGCTCAATTGCTTTAATTTTCCAGTTTCGTAAGGGATTCTTACATTCCATGCTTCTATGAATAAGTCCTGTCTTGTATTTATTTCAGATTTATCTTTCGTTCTCGCTCTTTTCGTATTTTCACCTTTTTAATTACTTTTTCTTTGCTATTTATGTCATCGTTTGTGCTTTTATTTGTGTATTGTCATCTTCTATTAGTTGTTTTGGATATTCCTTGTTTTTATTAGTTGATTACTTTATTTATTCCATTTTTATGTGTATTTATCTATTATTGTGTTATATTTGACTTTAACCATTTTACCATTATTTATTTCTTCGTTGGTGACTTGTCTTATTTTTTTCTGTATTTGTAGTTCTTTTTTTTTTTTGATATGTCATTATATTTGATCATTATTTTTATACACTTTGTAGTATTTTAGTACTTAAGTCTTAATTATTTTTAAATATATATAATATGGCAATTCGAAACGTCGAATATGGCCGAAAATTTGTCCCGTCTGTACAAGTTGTTTTATAGCTGTTTCTTTTTTCAACAGTCTCTTGTTAAAGTTTTTAGTTCTTCGACAAGGTTAAGAGTCATTTCGATCATTTAAAGTTTTTTTCTAACAATTTTTTTCTTTGGGGTGTATGTTGTTAACTGTTTTGGTGATCCATTTTTTATATATTTCCACGTTTTGTCACAGTGTCCGCTAGTCACTGATAGGTGAGCTCTCGCTAATGCTTCTCTAAAATTTTAATTTTTGGTCTTTTATTTATTTGTAATTGTCTTACTGTGTAACTTAAAGCGGAATATTGGTTTTTGTAAAAGGAACCACAGTCTACACCTGGTTTTGTCTTCACATTGATTAGTGAGCTCCTCCATGCTTAGTAACAAGTATGGTCTAGTCACTACTTAATACAAACATCAGATAAAAAAACATAATACACGTGTATGCACCAATAGTAGACAAATAAGAACAAGAAATAGAAACATGTTATGACCAAAACAAGAAATATCACAATAATAATAGATGATTTGAATGCTAAAGTTGTGATACAAAAGACAGATAATTTGATTGGAAATTGAGAGAGAAATTACTATTTTTACTGGGAATAACCTCAATTTTATTGTTCTCAAAATTTTTAGAATGATTTCCGAGGTACAAACTCGTAGTATCAAAATAAACTTATTTAAAAGTAAACGTGTCGCTTATTTCCAGTAAAAACTATTTTTCATTAATTCTATTTTTGTATACTAACTAAAAACTGTCAGTTTTACTAATTTACTGTTTACTAACTTGTTGTAATCGAAGGGATCATCAGTTCTGGAGGAATCGTAGATGTAGGTTCCATTGTAGTAGTTCTCCTGGAAATTGTAGCCCTTGTGGTTGAGTCCATTTTTGAAGAAACAAATTTCTGTGTACTTGGAATACGTGTTGTAAAATCAGATGTAGTGGGAACCTTGAAGAATATAATTCTAAGTATTTAAAAAAACATATTTTATACTTAACTTACGGTCTTTGTTGTTCTGTCTTTCCCAGGCATTCTTTCCTTAAGCACAACCTGCGGCATACCATTATCGACAATAACGTTGGTTTCTATATCATGATTTTTAATCTCAGATGTCGGTTTTCTCGTTGTGCTCCTAACAGTAGTAGTTGTGGAAAACGCAGTAGTAGTAGAAGTTAAAGTTGTGCTTCTCATAGTAGTAGTTGAGGTAGGGACGGTTGTAGACGCGCTTGTAGATTTAGTCTGGAAAGCAGATCTAACACATGAGTCCCCTACTTGCTTAAAAGGGGAATTGCAGGAACATCTTCCAAACAGATTTGGGATGAGAAAATCACAGTGGCTGTCTGCAGTCCAAAGGCGACAATGTTCATTGCTATAACATACGTTTCCAGGTCTTGCAGCTAAAATAATATGGTTCATTAAAAATACCATAAATGAGAATTTTAACAAGCTGTAAAGTAAGTATTCAAAACGGATATATCTAAATATGGTACAGCGTTTAAATAATAGCTAAATATTATTTGAAATTGTCGTTAAGAACTTAATTGATATTTTAATTACTAATTTATTTAATTCCGTTGACTAAAAAGCGACATAAATATGTTATTAAATTATTCTTGTTTTGCAGACGTACACTCGTAACTTGTGGGTATGAAGACAATTTTTAATTATTTAATATGCGATGTTTATGAATGTTACTGTATACCAGATGTTAATATATTCATACTATCCGCTTTTTTGTGTCTTTAATTATTGTTAGAACCAAAAAAATTGTATTGTTTTCTTATGTGGTATACAGGGTGAGTCATAACTATTGGGACATAGACTAAGGACAGGTTATTTTGACCAAAATATTGCTATTGGGCCAAATATGCCTTTATAAAATGTTGCTGAGAAAAAAGATACAGGGTGTTAAAGTTAATTTTTGTTTTTGGTTTTTTGCTAATAGTTTCCCTGTATATTTATAAATTACTATCAAAATTGGCACGGACGCATAATATTAGACAAGAAATGGTATTTTATTTACAAATTTACGTTTTGTCATAATGGGCGCCACATGGATCATTCCTAATGATCAAATTGAGTCTAAACTTTTTCTGAAGAAACTTTTTAGTAATTTTTATTAGAAAATATGACGTAAACATCATTTTACGTAAAATTGGTACTCTTGTTTAAACATGATAATTTCAACCGTTTTCGATAAAAACGCAGTCGAACTGCTTAGAGTCTTGAAAAAGGATTTCAATTATTATTTCATTTATGAAAAGTATGCTTTGGACTGTCAGATAATTGTTGTTGGTAAATGTCATTTGTTCAGAGTAAATTATTTTTGATGTGGCAGTGTAGTGCAATGTTGCATTTTTTAAAAGTAATCATTACTTTTTTTGATTGAAATGCCTCGTCACAATCATTTTACTAATGAAGAAATGCGAGATATGATTTGCGTATACGCACAAGAAAATTTTTGCGGTCGCTCGGCAGCCAGAAGGTATGGAATGTTATACGCAAACAGAAGGCAACCAAATCACAAAACTTTTGCAAGATTATATCTTAGTTTAGATGAAACTGGGTCATTTCACACTAAAAATCGAGGTGGTCGACCGAAACAAATCACACCTAACCAAGAAGATGAACTTTTGGTTCGAGAAAATGAAAATCCTGAAATAAGTTCACCACATCTATCAGCAGCAACAGGAGTAAGTCAGTCGTCTATTGTTACAATTCTAAAACAAGACAACCTCCATCCTTATCACTTTACTCCTGTTCAAAATTTACTTCGACCAGATCTTCCACGACGGTTACAGTTTTGCCAACGTATTCTGAATAAACATCGCAATGACAGACGAGGGGTTTTTAATTGGCGAAATAGTCATTATTGGGAAGAAGAAAACCCGCATGCTATTAAAGCTAGACATTTTCAGCATGAGTTTAAATTGAATATTTGGTGTGGCATTATAGGCGACCAACTACTAGGGCCTTATGTTCTTCCTCCGAATTTAAATGGAGATTCTTATTTATTCTTTTTGGAAAATACTCTTAGTAATATTTTAGATGATCTGTCGCTGGATGTAAGAACAAAATGTGGTTTTGTGCAGGATGGAGCGCCACCTCATTTTTCATTAGCTGTTAGAAATCATCCTAATGACGTATTTCCTCAACGATGGATTGGCAGAGGCAGTGATTTTCAATAACCACCAAGAAGTCCTGAGTACAACCTGCTAGATTTTTATTTTTGGGGACATATGAAGTCCTTAGTTTATGCCAATGAAATTAATACACGAGACGAACTTTGGAGATACATTCAAAATGCAGCTAATCTTATAAGAGGACAGAATAATATTTTTTTTAATGTCCGAAAATCCTTTATAGAAAGAATTAGAAAAGGCATAGAAATCGGAGGAGACAATGTAAAACATTTAGTTTGAATTTTTGTGAGTTCTTTTATTTTAAGTTAAAGTGTGTTTAGTTTTGATTTATCATCAAAACAGAAACCTTACTTTAGTTGTAACTTTGTTTATTAGTTTGGTATTTTGATAGTGGAATTGTAAATAAAATAACATTTCTTGTCTAAGAATATGCCTCTATGCCAATTTTGATAGCGATTTATAAATATACAGGGAAACTATTAGCAAAAAACAAAAAACAAAAAACAAAAATTAATTTTAACACCCTGTATCTTTTTTCTCAGCAATATTTTATTAAGGTATATTTGGCCCAATAGCCATATTTTGGTCCAAATAACCTGTCTTTAGTCTATGTCCCAATAGTTATGACTCACCCTGTATATATATATATATATATATATATATATATATATATATATATATATATATATATATATATATTATATATATAGCAGATAACAGCAGTAATAACATTGATAATTATATCAAGACATAGATTAGTAAAGAAATTAGAGATAGATTACTAGCTTACTTATAAAAAACTTATAACCTTAATTCAATAATGAAGAAGATGAACATTGGCTTCCAACATACTGGAAAGTACAAGGGGAGACGAATAAACTTGAGAAGAATAAACTTAACACTAGTTTGGTTCTTCTTCTTGTAGTTTCTCCTTGTATCGGAGGTTGGCTGTCATCACAGCTATCCGTACCTTATTGGCGGCTGCTCTAAAAAGATCTACTGAGCTGAAACTATACCACTCTCTTAGGTTTCTTAACCAGGGAATTCATAGTATTTCTATGGATATTTTACCCTTGACTTTACCTTGCGCTAAAAGCCTTAATACAATTAAAACAATACAATTGGAATATCCCGGACATATAACACTTGGAGAGAAGTACACCTTGCTCCAACTGATTATGCAGGGAGAGATTGAAGGAAAAAGAAGCATAGGGAGACGTAGAATGTCATGGCTGCGCAACCTAAAAGAGTGGTACGGATGTACATCAAATAAACTTTTTAGAGCAGCCGTCTTAAAAGTCCGAATAGCTATGATGATTGCCGACCTCCGCTGCGGAGATGACACTTGAAGAAGATAAGATTTAATATCTCATATTTCGCCCCTCTGGTAATGTGGCCTAAATATTTCAGCTTTCTTGTTTTGATGTGTTCTATGAACTAGCTATTTGAGCGTAAAATACTCCGCAAAATATTTGGAGCTGTAAACGACCAAGGGCAGTGGCGCAGAAGATATAATTTTGAATTGTATCAGCTCTTTGATGAGCCAGATGTCATAACGTTCATTAAAACACAGCGACTTAGATGGGCTGGACACATAATACGAATGCCAGAAAATACCATTGCTAAAAAGCTAACCACAGGAACACCTGTAGGAACAAGAAGCAAAGGCCGACCGCGAATTAGGTGGTTAGATGGAGTAGAAACCGACCTACGAATATTAAAAATCAGAAGATGGCAACATGTTGCCAAAAACCGAACAGAATGGCGACGAATCTTAGAGCAGGCCAAGATTCACAGAGGATTGTCGAGCCAAAGATGATGATGATGAACTAGCTATCCTTTTGTGGCCTTCTTCACACTTCTGCATCTGTAACTCGTTGAGTCCATGATATTTTCAGAATCCTTCTATAGCACCAAATCTCAAATGATTCCAACTTCTTTATATTATCCACTTTTAGTCGAGAACACGTAGCATCTAAGGCTCTTATCATCAACTCCAGAGCAAGGTCTTGATTAACAAACATTGTTTTCATTTTTATAAATGCTTGTGTTGCAATTTCAATGCGTGTCCTTATTTCTGTACCTTTTATTGTTTTCATTTACCCAGGCTTCCCGACATTTGTTGTTATTCACTCTTTCTGCTTATTTTCCCTCGATATCTAGCCTTCCTACTGTATTTTGCTTAGAAACAATCATCACTTGGTTTTCCTAAAATCATCATCATCATCAACTAGCCTCTAACGTCCACTGCTGAACTTAGGCCTCTCGCATGCTTTTCCACTTAGTCCGATTTTGCGCCATCTGAATCCAATTTGTAGTCACTCTTTTTATGTCATCTGTCCATCTCGTTGGGGGTCGACCTCTATTTCTGTAAGCTTGTATTCGGGGTCACCATTCCAAAATTCTTTTTGTCCACCGGTCATCAACTGATCTTGCTACATGACCTGCCCAGTTCCACTTTAGTGTTGTTATCCTTTCAATAACGTCTGCTACTCCTGATCTTTTGCGTATAGTAGCATTGGGTATTCTATCACGTAGAGAAATCCCTAACATAATTCTCTCCATTGCTCTTTCTGCAACTTGTAGTTTACTCACTGTTGTTCTTGTGAGCGTTAGGGTTTCTGCGCCGTAGGTCATCACTGGCAAAATACATTGATTAAATACTTTTCTTTTCAGACACATTGGAATCTTAGACCTAAAAATATCCTTCATCCTTCCAAATGCAGCCCAAGCGAGGTTTATTCTTCTTTTCAGCTCGATTGTTTGGTTGTCTCGACTTATTCTGATCTCATGGCCTAAGTATTTATAGAAGTCAACTGGCTCAATATCTTTGTCTTCTACTGAGATGTTTTTGTTGTTGACTAAATTTGTCATAAATTGTGTTTTTGAAAAATTTATTTTAAGACCAACTCTTTTTGTGGCAGTATGGAGTTCTTGGAGCATTATCTGTGCCTGATCAAAGCTGTCTGCAATAAGAACGATATCATCTGCAAATTTAAGGTTATTTAAAAAATTTCCATCTACATTGATGCCCTTCCTAAAATAACTTCCTTAAAAATAGCTTCGCCATACAGATTGAATAGCAATGGGGACAGCATGCAACCCTGTCTAACACCTCTTTTGATTACTATAGTTCGACATTTTCGATTCCAACCTTTGCTTTTTGATTCCAGTACAAATTGACAATAACCTTCTTTTCTTTTAACAGTTTAAAAGTATCTGATGTAGCACTCTATCAAAAGCCTTTTGATAAT